CAGCCTTTGATGCAATGTGGAATCCCAAAGCAAGGTCTCTCCTGAGCCCCCAGCAGCAGCAGGTGCAAAGGTTGAAGTTTGCCAATCTACATGTTCGAGTTCTGTTACGATAAGGTGGCTCCCTCCAGGCCCAGCAACGCTTCAGGACCACAGCTCCATGTCTAATGAGGATCTGATGATGTTCAGGGTCACTGCTGTATCCAGGGAACTCGAGGTAAGATGATTTTGGTTTTTTACAACTAATGCTTCAGCATGTTTATCCACAGTCTCTCAAAGTCTGGAGGTGATTTAAGCTCAACTACAGAAATGAAAATAACTGAACCCGAGAATCTTTAGGATGAACTCATTTTCCTCAATCTTTGATAAACTGCTGTGTCTGCAAAACCCACTGCCCCGTCCTTGGGGGTTCCCATTCAGGACAGCAGCTCGCAGAGGTCCTCAGCAGCCTGTTCCAGGGTGCAAGATGCAGGCCCCTTTGTGAAGCCATCTCTGCAAAGGTCTCGCTGACCACCCAAGTTCAGTGCAACCAAAATAAACCTCACTTCACCTCACAGATACTGGTTGTGCACACTCTGTGTTGCCCTGGCAGGCACCTGAAATGTGAGTCACAGAAAGCTGGCAAGCAGGATGATGCTCTGAACGTCACCATGGGTCTGACTTCATTCCTATCTCAAAGGATGAGCTACCCAGACTTCCCCAAAACTAGTACTATTGCAGATTAACGAATGCAAATGCCTCGTGCTGAAACAATACAGGTAACTGCTGAGGGCTTTCCTCTATCTCCCTGGGCAGCAAACATGAACCACATTGATCTGGTTCAAAAGGCTTAAGCCATCAAGTGTCTGAAACTTTTATCAAATGATGGACCTGACTTCAGAAGGGAGACCATGCTCCCTCACAAACCAGCCAGGCTGAGCCTGTGCCTGGAGGAGGATCCTGCAGGGCTTCAGGATTTTAAACTTGCCCTTGGCTTCTAAGCAGGTTCCCAACTCACATGAGCAGAAAGCTCTTTAAGCTGTAATTATCCAGGCAAGACGAGACCAGGGCTCCTCCTGTACGCTCCTCACTTGTACAGCATTGCAGTGTGGTCACTCAAAATCTTCTGTTTGACTCAGCAACACTATGGAAACCACCCCTGCACAGAGGACATCCTTTTGGGAAAGCTCAGCAATCAGCCTCACCCACTCTGCTGCTGCCTCTACTTTTTTCCTTCTCAAGTGGGAATAGTGTAAAGAGCTGTAACTTCCTTGATTGTGGGGCAGGACAGGAGAGCTCCCTTCCGATGATTAAGCTACAGCAAGAACATAATAAAATGAGCTCTTTATGCAAGTAAACAAAAACCAAAGGAATCCCAAGTCTTAATCCTTGAGGTTGGATTTTTCTGAATTTTTTTTTTAAAAGGAGCATCTCCCATTCTCTCCTAGGAACAGATGAATTCCATAGCCAGGGTAAATACAGTGCCCAGCACAGGTATGGCCCTGCATTCTCTGGGCTTTCACCCTTCCTTTGGGGACTTGCTTGCTCTTTCTTTCCGTGGTGCTCCAAGACTGCTCAAATCCAAGCGGGAGATGGAAAACCACATGAAAAGCAACACTCGCCCCTGTGTAATGGGTTCCTGCAAGAGGAACAAACCAAAGGTCTCACTGCTTGCTAGAGACCCTCACGCATTGCACGCCTGGGCAGAGTGCCATTTCACAAAACACAACTTTTCCAAAGTTACTGAGCATTGGTGAGTTTGTAAGTGAGCAATATGCAGAACACAGCCATCCACGCACCAACATCTCCTGCTGCATAGCAGGGCATCCTACATAGCCAGCACACGCCTTCGTTACTTGGAGGCAGCATGGCCGTTGAAAATAGCGGGCATATAACATATAACCACCACAGTTTATAGCTTCTGGACCTAACTAAAAGTGCTGCTATTAAAAGCAATGTAAGTTCTTTCAGAGTTTTGCCTAATAGCCCCACAACTCATTTGTAAGGGAACGGTGAGGTCTCTAAAGGACTTCTGAAATGACTTTTTGGAAGTAGGAGGTTCCGTACTATCACCAGGAAAACATGCCACGCATTCTGCAAGCGCTATCAGTATGGACTCTGGCTACACGGTTTAGATATGAGTCCATAAAGACCTTCCCTCAAAGGTTGCAATTGAGTCATCGCTACCCGCTTCAAAGCACGCTAACCACCAGGTCCGGGCGGCTGATGGAGACGGCTTTAGCTGTGGGCTGCGAGATAGCCTAACCACCGGCTTTGGAAAGCAACACTTGAAGAAACATTTGCATGGCTCCTTGCTAATTGGGGAAGTTTAATTCAATAAGCGTGCAGTTAGAGGTGATTTTAAAAGACTAACTTTATAAAATTTCACACTGGTGTTGTCAAAACATATTGTCTAATTACCTTCTCCTTTCTTGGCTGATTGATAAGCGAGCGCAGAGCAGTGCCTCTCTGAAGTTGATGCCAATTCTGTGTCAGTAATTGGCTGGCAGGAGGTGCCAGAGTGTCTGCACTAAACTTTTATTCCCTGGAGAAAGACTAGAACTAACTCGACTTCTCAGTCCTCTGCTCCCATATAAATATGCGTCAAGATGCCTTTTTTCCCTGGGACTTAAAATTATAGTGCAGAATCTAATGGGAACAGGGGATGTTTCACAGAAAAATCCTTGTGAAGCGTCTGTGCATAGTTTAGGAGGAATATGTAATTCTAAAAGACTCTGTAGATAAGCAGCAGAATATAAAAATTTATAAGCAGCAGGTGGCCAATTTAAACCTTGTTTTCCCCTCCTCTTTTTTAACTGGTTTCCAAAAAGGTTGCTAAAATTTAATGCTAAGTAAAACTAATTAGCCTGCAAGGAACTGCTGCTGGAATGACGCTTATTCAGTTCAACAAAAGAAATGTTTGGCAGATGGAAGTTCGTTAAAAGCAGAGCTCACTATACATATTTAATGCTCCATACCCTGAGTTTATAACCTGCAGTTCATCGAGGCATTGCCAGTGCACACAATCAACAGAAAGCCATGATTATTTTTATCCAAAAGGTAAAGCCACTGACAAGCTTTGAAGTTGGAGAATATGCACTTGGTAGTTCTCACTGTTGGGGAACAGTAGCAGCAGCAGCAGCAGCAGCAGCAGCAACAACAACAACAACAACAACAACTAAAGGCCAAGCTTTCAAACTTCAACTCTAACAAAGCCAAGCTTACAGTAAAAACGGCTTCTAGTGAAATAAAAAGCCAGGCAGCCAGCCCTTTCATAGCGACCACACTGTGAAAGCAACAGTGTGAAAAGAGAGGTGACTGAGCAAGGATGGCTAGTGAGCGTCTGCAGCCAGGGCTTTTATTGTCAACCCAGTGATCAAAGCACAGGAGACCCTCTTAAATCTAAGGAAAATAATCTAATTTAAGAGGAAAAACAAAGAGTGGTGGTTTGGTTGGGGGTTTTTTTGGGTTTTTTTTGTTTTTTTTTTAAATCAGATTAAAACAAGGGTGTATTTCTGCTGGTATTGTGCTGCTTTGAGCAGGCAGGATGAGAACAGCTGCTTCAAGTTTGAAGACACTTCTGGAAAAAGCAGATGGAGGCTTTTTTTTCCTTCCTATTTGATTTGTGCTGGAGTCCAGCTGTCCAAAGGGGAAAGAAGCACCTTTATTCCCTGCTAGGTATTAAATGTCACCTGTAAGTTCTCACAGACAGAAAATAATAATAAGCAGAGCTGCAGATGGTGCTGCAGAGCCCTAGCAGTTACGCTCATCTTCCAAAGCTGTTTGCTTACCTGGAGCAACCGGCCAGACAGAATCAGACAAATGAAATACTTATGCCTGCACTTTCTTTGCTCTCCTGCCTTGTGCCCCCAGGCGGGCTTTGCTGAGTCCTTGAGAAGAGGTTGCAGATCCCTTCGGCTGCCCAGTGCAGAAATACCACTCGGGACAGTTGCCTTTCTCCCCAGCTGAACTTGGCTGAGGGCTACATCAGCCTTCACATCCAGTGGCCTCCTACACCTTCCACAAACACTTCCAGCTCTCCCGAGGGCACGTAACTGGCTAATAGGTAGATGCCAGTCAGCACTTCCATTCTCATACAGGAAAAACAACCAGCTACTGACTGAACAGTTAAGAAAAATTATGCATTTTTGGGATTAATTTGGCAGAAGGCTACCAAGCCCTTTCTTAGCACAGTCTGTTTCCTTCTTAAAACATCCCCAAGTGAATACAGTGCTAATGACGTTAAATTTGAGCAAGGAGAGCAGCCCTATGTTAGAGATCTCACATATTTTGCGCATTTACCTCCGGGGAAGGAGACAGTGCTACTTACAGGAATGTGAGGTAGTGGCACACGTCCATTTGCTTTGGCACTTTCTTGCATCTCTCGGCGATGCTGCTTTCGGAGTCTGTATGGTGGGATCCCATCTCTGCCGGAATAAAACAACAACATACCCTGCTTTAGTGCCTTTCTCTGACACATGATGCTTACTTAAGCCTCGCTGCCACAGAGAGACAGGCAGGAAAACCCTTTACATTTGAGAAAGGCTTTGCATGTCCAGGGCAAGCACAGCAGAGCAAGAGGAATCCGTATGGGAAATGATGCTCACCCAGGACCCTGCACCAGCAACACTCTGGCATTGGATGCCCAGGGGGACTTACATAGCATCTGCCAGGAGCACAGCAAGGCAAGGCTCCCGTGACTACTGCCCTAGGCACAGGGCAGGGAGAAGGACTTGGACCGCATCCTGGTACCTTTTATAGTTGGTTGCTTTCTATAAAAGAGCCTGTAATGTACACAGTAAACCACAGGGCAGGCGAGGAGGGGGAGGAGGAGAAGGAGTGGGAGTTCAGTGGACATCTACACCGAGGGAAACTTGGTTGAGGAACAAGGTATGTATTTGCAAGAGAGCGTGACAACTTCTCAAATGGCTTATCAAAGCCAAGGGGTAGGCTCCGCTGCTCTTAAGATGATCTCTAGCTCAGACTGAAATTACGGGCTTCATGCTGGAGTTACTGTGAAGGAACCACATGGCCCTTGCACCAGAGGAGGCTGGAGGAGGTTGGGGAGGGATGCCATGGGCAGTGACACCCAAGCGAACCAGCTCTGCTCGGGTCTGTGCCCTTACTGAAAAAGCTGGTGCCGGAGGTCTGCAGAGGAAGGAGACAGCGGTGGCAATGATCCTTGGTCCTGACAGACCTGGAGCTGGGTCCGTGGCTCTGCAGAGCCGTACACAGACTTTCTGCAAAGTCAGGGGCCTGGGTGTACGTGGGTCCCAGCGATGAGGGGTCAGGGTCACCAGGCTTCACTAAGCAGCCCTAATGGAAAAGCATCGCTCGCTGAGCGTGACTTCAGGCGAAGAAAAGAAACGCATTTTCGTTCTCACCATTGCGACCACCCTGACTACGCCCAGGGATGAGGAGACCATGAGTGAGATGGAGCCCAGTTATAAGGACATGCGCCCATTTCCTGGTGGCACTAGGTGATTTTGGGAAAAATCAATGAATGCAAAACCAATGCCTGCCTGTAGCTTGGCAATTTGGAGTTTTCCTCTTTTATTTTACACACTTCCCTGATAGAATAAAAGTAACCACTTGGGAACACCGTGCAACGCCACAGAAGCGGGTGGAAATGAACAGAGGGGCTTGGTTTGCTGCAAGTACCAAATAACTTCCACGCACGCACGCAGTAACCTTCCAGCCCCGCACTGCTCCGAGCAGTGCAAACCAGCCAGTCCCAACACATCCCAACGCGACAAGATGTTTGCACAAGCCAAATGCACTTAGCACCTACCCCTCTCTGCAGTTGCTGAGCACAGCTGCTTCTCGAGAATGTAAGCCAAACAGTTTAACCAGCAGATTTTTAAAGTCAAGATGCCATTTGGCAAGGGAAACACAATTTACTGTGGTGTTTTGCCTGCAAACCTCCTGAGTTACAAGCACCAGCCTGGGGTGAGGATGGTCACCATCCACTCTCCTTCCCCTTGCTGCCCTGCTGGTGCTCTGGAAGCGCGGGCACAGGCAGAATCGCCACCAAATTACATCAGGAGAACGCAATTCATGCAGTAACCCATGCATTCAAAATTAAATGCCATTAAAATAAAATAAAACCTGTGATTAATGACAAGTGCTTTTTAGTAGGAAGACAAATGAGAGCACAGAAAATTAGCCAGGCTAATTACAGCTCTGGCTAGCGGCTGCAGGTAATGCGGGAGGAGGAAGAGCGCGTCTGGGAGCATCGCCTCTGCTGCGCCTGGCAGTGACACCTTACAGGAGCGGAGCAATTTCCCAAGCGTTGCTATACCAACAGGCGATTATGATAGCTTTCATTAGCCGCCTTCATTTGCTTTAATGACAAACCTCCATTTGAAAAATAACTTAAGAGCCACAACGGTTAAAGAGTTTCATCGCATCACGATGCAGCTTTTTCCAGACAGGCTGGCAACAGAACAACTGGCAATTTTTACACGGGAAAAATATTAAAAACCTGGGTGATTATTTTAGCCATCGCTGGTCGGCATCAATAGACAACATTTCAGCTTAACCACCGCACAAAACCCGGGCGCCAGAACACAACTCGCACGCTAAAGCCACACAGCCATTCGCGGGAAAAGCGGCATTATATTAGAAGGTGCAATTTTTCTCTCTTTCTCCTTTTTTCTTCTTTTTTTATTTTTTTTTTTAATTCTCCCCAGCAGCAGTCCCAGAGGAAAGAGCGACTTTTGTTCCCAGCACAGTAGCGAAAGGCTGATAATGGCCTCTAATCTATCCGGCTTCAAACACATGTTCAGCCCTGCTGTGCTGCCTTTGATGTCATTTTAACTAGATTCCCCAATGCCACCTCTGAACTTGGAACATTCCTTCGTTCAATGTACTGTGCCAACTCAACCAGAGGAAGCAAATTCAAAGATAAGCACTTTAATTTTATCCCAACAAAACCTTATTCAATAGATGGGGGGAAAGCAAGAAAAACCAATACCATACTTTTGTTTTCCTTTTGTCAGGTAGCTTGCTTTGAGATATTTTCAATAGATAGAGAAAAAAAAAATATATATATAAA